TTTTGGTACAAAGAAGGAGGCCGAAGCCTAGGACCATCAAACAGTTACGTTCCGTGGGTAAGCCACTCCGACAAGGTCGTGCTGTAACCACGGTCGTACTAATGATGGTGGTTCGAGTAACCTCTGACAACCACTAGGGCAATGATGAGCTAGTGTCGCCAAACAATCCGCTGCAAAGTTAGCCTCTCTATAGCAATGAGTCACGGTCGCATCCCAGTCCCGACGAAGCAAGTCACGTATTGATGATTTGTTTATGTTGTTTTGGATATTCATTTTTCACAAACTTTTGGTGTGCTTGAATCCGTTTTGACGAATAACTTGGTATTTTTTTTATATTCATTTTTTTGTTGACGAATAACCTGGTGTTGTGTTTGGCTATGATTGAATCATTCTCAGAGTATAATTGTCGAACACTTTGGAATCCTCTATTTTTTATGTTTCCGTATATAAATAATGTATATGCAGTATATGTTCAGTATATGTACGTCTTAGGAATATACAAACCGAAAAATACTCGAACCCTCGGTTTGTTGACTGGCTAGGCACTTATGATCGCTGTCTGCGTGCGCTAAGGCCGAAAGCGTCACACTTATTAAACATAGTAATTTACACATGCACATATTTCTGTCTTATCTTGTGTTCGAAGGCACACACACATTTCCATCTTAATGTAAATAATTAGTAATTTTGTGTTCTAACGCACACACATCTTCATCTTATCTTAATTTTGGATATACCCCACCGGATATATATATATATATATAGTTTTGTTTTTAATTATTATTTGATAGGATAAATTCTAAAACTTAAATAAAATGCACATATGGCACAATATTTAGTTTAATTTGTTTATATATATATAAATTAATTACATCAACAATTAATATTTAATGTACATTAAATATTTATCATTATATATAAAAAATACTACTTTTATAAGTGTTATAAATAAAATAATGACATTATATGACAATAAATTTTAGAATAAAATAATACTTGAGTATTACAATGACAAAAAATAGATAAAATTATTTTTTCTTTTTTCTTTTGTATGAACATATAAAAATATTTGCTAAAAAATTAATTACATTAAATACAAACAATTCAACAAACTAATATATTGTTAAAATAAAATTGATATAATAAAATAAAATTATAAGCTACAAATCTGCGATTCAAAGTAGGTGATTTTCCGGTGAAAAATCTGCCGAGTTTCAATGGCGCTGTGCCCTTTACCTTTCCTCGCGCAGCCATTTTCGACCTCTCCCCATCTCCCAGATTTCTACTGTTTTCCTCCGGTGAAGAAAGCTCGAGCGATGAGAAGACGAAAAACAAAGAAAAATGAGGCTTTGACCATGGCTGCCGCCGCCGCGAAGAATGCGGCTGTTGATGGTAAGCCGACGAAGCTGGTGACTTTCTTGGGTAAAGGCGGCTCTGGCAAAACAATCGCCTCCATTTTCGCAGCTCAGGTAAAGCTGATAAGCTTGGCTAATGCACCTGTGTATGAGTATTTGGACTGTTTTAAGGGTTTTAGCGGATTAGTTATGCTGCATTTTAACAATTCTTTTCGCATTTATATTTTAGGTTCTCTGCTGTTCTGAGCTTTGTGTGGATTTTGTAATTTGTGTTGCTAATTAGGGGAATAGCCAGTTACTGAGGGAAATATTTTGAATCTTTTGATTAGATGATGATTATTTTTTAGTTTTAAGAAGCAATTTCAGTGAAAGGAAGTATTAATGTGCACTCTGTCCAGCATTATGCAATGTTGGGGCTCAAGACATGTTTGGTTATACATTCTCAAGATCCGACAGCTGACTATCTACTCGACTGTAAGATTGGATCATCACCTGTCAACTGCAATGATAATCTCTCAGCTGTTAGAATCGAAACTACAAAGGTGTGTTGTTTCTACATTTCTTTATATTAATTTGTCTTTGCTCAAGTACATTCAGGCTATACATAATGCTCTTGACTTCTGAGTGGGTGCTTTCTTTGATTCCAGATGATTCTTGAGCCCCTTAAACGACTTAAGCAGGCTGATGCTCGTCTGAATTTGACGCAAGGTGTTCTTGAAGGGGTGGGTATGTAACAACCCTTTTCCACATAACATTGAAAATTTGTTGGGAATTCCAAAATATCCATCGAGGTTAAAGTTAAACCCAATTACAAAGACAGCCAGTTAGTTTTTGGGCATTGCAGATACTCCTTGAGGTTTGCATATGTCTTAATTAATAGCCTGTCGTTGATGGTAAAACTGGTAAACTGGAAAAGCAAGTATCTGTAATTTTGAAAGATGAATTAGCTTCTTGGAATGAGTTAAACTTAAACTTTTCCTTTTTTGTTCAATCTTTTTGAATTAAATAGTCCAACTTCTGTCTTCTGAAAATAGCTACGGACAATTTATTCTCCAAGTTTCAGTTCTTTGATTTTTCTTTTCTCACAGTTATATACTCTAAACATTCAATCTATTTTCAAAGAGTGCCTTCAATTAGTTTTCATAATTGCCCAAAAATCTATTTCTGACCCAAAAACAATTGAAAATTGGAGTAACTGCAAATATTTGTAGGTTGAGCTGGAATTGTAAGAAAGTGTTTTTCTTTCTCCTGATAATGACTCTTCTTTAACTAGGTGAAATCCAGGGTTTATTCTTTTAATTTACCCTCAAAAATCATTTATGTTAATGTGTCTCTCGCGATATTTTTGTAGGTGGTGGGTGAAGAGCTTGGTGTACTTCCTGGTATGGACTCTATATTTTCTGCTTTGGAGCTCGAAAAACTCATAGGTTTCTTGGGTATTTCGTCCCAGGGGAAAAGCGAGAAAGAAAAATACGACGTAGTCGTGTATGACGGTATTAGTACTCAAGAAACAATCCGTATGATTGGTGCATCCAGTAAAGCAAGGTATTAGTTACTCTGATGCTTTACTTCTTCTTTGTGGACCTTGTTACAGTAATCTTCTTATTTTCTAAAAAATCATTGGTTATTTTTTTCACTGTGAAGATTATACTTAAAATATATGAGGAGTCTTGCTGAAAAGACGGATCTAGGGAGGGTAGCAGGCCCGTCTCTCTTGAGACTAGTGGATGATGCGTTGAGTCTAAGTGGAAGGGGTACCAATCTGAACGGGAAAATGAGCTCGGAAATTTGGGACTATCTGGAACAAACATTAGAGGTGAAAACATTTTCTAATTGTGATGAGTAAAATTTTTCTCGGTCACAGAGCAATTATACATATTGTATATTTTTTTGGCAGAAAGGATCTTCCATCTTTGCTGAACCCCATATATTCGGATGCTACATCATAATGGATCCTGAAAATCCCATGTCACTTAATTCCGCCGTACGGTTTTGGGGTTGTGCTATTCAAGCTGGTGCACGAGTGTCCGGTGCATTTGGTCTAGTTACACCAGATTCTCCTCCTGTGTCATTACACGAAAAAATGAAGATCAACTTTTCACCTCTACCTTGTGCTTTTGTTCCACATCTTCAACTTGGTACCAAAAAAAATTGGAATGAGATCATGAAGTCTGATAATAGCAAAGATGCTCGAGACCTACTTTCAGGAAGTAATGACACGAGCGTTCCATCCTCGGTGAAATTTGACCCGTCTGATAAATCCGTGAAGCTATTCATGCCAGGTTTTGACAAGTCAGAGATCAAGCTCTACCAAGTACATAATGTTATCCTAGAGTGTTTTTTTTTTTT